ATTATATTCTGCATGACAGAGACTGTGAGGACAAGGTCAGAATTGAGACCCATACACATATTGTTTATTCCCAGTAGCCCCTCACGGGTAAGACAACAGCCAGGAAGCCAGCTTCTGTAGGACAGGCTCATGCTCTTCCTGACAAACCTTTACACAAAACACATTGCCGGGGTGTGTGTGTGGTGGGGGGGACGGGAGATGCACTATTTGCCACGTGAGCTCTGGATGAGGAAACAGTGCCAATCCCATATCCCACCTGGAGTTGTGGCTCTCCCTTCAGGGACAACTTCACCCATGCTTTGTAACGTTTCCACCCACCATGCCTGACATCTCTGGGGGTCATCTTATTAATTGATGATCTTACTAAATGGGGTATGAATGTCAGGAACAACCGAGGTGTCAATTCCTCAATCCAGGGATGAAGCATGGAGGGAGATTGGGAAGGCAGATTATTAGCAGCTTCCATTCATTCCTCAGATATGAGCGTGTGCCTTTTACATGCAGGCTCTAGCTGTAAATGCTGTACCTAACGTCTGCTTCATGCCTTACCGTTTACAAGGGTCTCGCACACCCTCACTCACTCAGTCCTCACGACAGCGTTGGAAGGTGGATATTCATGTCCCCATGTTACAGATGTTCAAACAGAGACTGAAAGAGGTGCAGTGAGTTGCCCAAAGCTATTCTCTGGGGCTGTGACCCCCAGCCTGCTCCTTTGCTGGCCTTGCCTCCCATTTTCCCTCAGGTGTCGCTACCCTGTGAATACAGACCTTGTCTGGTCTCGGGAGCACCCGAGGAACTCCTCGGCTCACACGCTGGCCCATTGTGGTCTGGGCCACCTCCTCCTACGTCTGCCATCTTTGTTGCACACCACCTTTGGGGTGTGTCACATCCCAACTGGCAAAAGCCTCAGCTGGTAAAAGGTATGGGTGGCCAATGGAGGTGAAGACAGTCTACACCCAGCCAGGGAGTTTGCTTATGAGAAACACATGCTGCTTCTAACTGCTGTGCATTGGGCAGCCTGAAGCTCTCAGGCCATGGGTAATCCAACTGCCTGTTGTCACTTGTCACTGACTACCCTCGAGGCAGCCGCCCTTCAAGTGGCTGTGGTAATAACCTTCCTGCTTCACCCCTGGGGAAGGTTGGGAGTCTGCCTGGCAGCCCAGCTAGCATCATTTTTCACTCTCTCTCTTGTTCATTCACATGTTCACAAATCCCACTAGGTGTCCTTTAGTCTCAGTGCCTCTCCTTGCTCCCAGCTCAGATGCAAGGTGGTGCCTGAGGCCCATTGCCCATCCAGCAATGGTAGGAAGACTTTTTTGCATTAAGAGTACAATAGCTTTTGAAGCTATTGTTGATATTTTCCTTGGGGATCCAAAGAGCTGTGGTTTTCATTGTCCTTTTCAGCAGAAGGTGATGGTGACATGGGGGTAGCTACAGTTCCTCACACAAACATCTTGAAGAACAAGTAGTTCAATATCCTCAGGCTCACCCTCTATCTTTGCAGGGTTTTCCTCCCACCACTGGCTGAGGTCTACTCAGAGCCCTTTTCTGTTCCATTCTTGATATTTCTGAATCTTTCAGTAGCTCAGATTTTTTCCTCTTCCTCCTAGGCCTGTTCTTGCCTTGGGTCTCTTTACCTGAGTGATTGGGTTTGAGAAAGACTTTTCATTTGCTAAATATGAGATTTCGCCTTCTTTAGGATAAATTCCCAAGAGATTTAGAGGGAAGGGAAGGGAAAGGAAGATGTTTCAGGAGATGAGCAGTCTTGAGACTAATAGTTGAGGCACCATTCCAGGTGATTGCAGAACAGAATTGGTGTTTCTCTGGGCTCTGTAATCCTCCCCTTAGCTCTGCAGCCATCAGCACAGCCAGAGCGCTGGGGTTGTAACCAGCGAGGCCTTTAGGCCCCTGTGTTACTGTGCCTGGAGGAGCCTCAGAGGTGGCTTCTCTGACACCAGCCTTAGAATCAGTCTGATGTCCTCGAGCACCATCCCCATCCCCTGGCTTCTCAACGTTGATATTCACATGGTCTCCAATAACTCTCCTCTTAGTTTGCTTTATATTTCTCCTTGGCACATAAGCCATGATGTTGCAACTTACCAGTAGAAGATTGGTGACCATTAAGATGGTACTCAAAGAGTAAGACTTGTGCAGTCTTTTCATAGGGCAAATTCACAAGTCCAGATCGAGATAGATAGGTGTTAGTTAATGACAAGAGAGCATTTTCCTGTGGCTTGCCTTGCTCTTCCTTTTAGGTGCTTCACATTCATTCATTCACTCAGTCAGTCACTCATTTACTTATTTACTTACTTGTTATTTGCCCCCAGAAAGTCCTTCTTGGTCATCACTGCATGGTTAGTGAGACAGAGAGAAGTTCAGTGGTCTCTTACTAAGGGAGGACACGCCCCAGCCTCCAGGAGCACTTCCAGTAGATTGACTGGAATCCTTCCAGGCAATGAGTAATTCGTCAGGCTCCTAAGAGGTGCTCTTCTCCAAGCCAGTGCCAGGGAGGCTGTAACACCTGCTTACGACGCTTCTGCCTTGGGCTTCTTCTGCAGCTTCTCCTATCTTTGTTCTAACACATGGCCGTTCCTGCCTAATGTCCTTGTTTGAACTTCCACACTAACCTCGCATTAGTCTTGGTATATCCCAGGGTTTCTCAATAGTAGCATAACGGACATTTCGAATTGGATAGCTCTTTGTTTTGGGGTGGGGTGGGTGAGTACCCTGTGCACGGCAGGATGTTTAGCAGCATCTCTGACTTCTAGATGCCAACAGCACCCTCTGCCCAAGTCGTGACAACCAAAAATGTCCTCCAACGTTGCCACGCATCCCCGGGGGGGGGGGAGGCAGAATCCCCCCTTGTTGAGAACCACTGGTATATTCAAAGAAGGGCACTTCTTCAGCTGGTGTTACCATCACAGCAGTATCTGAACACAGTGGCCCATGGAAGTGGTTCCTGTTTGCTGCTTTGTTTGGCTTTCTAATGGTGAATCAAGTACTTTTTAATGGGTGAATCCATTTTAGTTCCTGGGAAGAAGCAGCACGCCCTTATTTGTTCCTCAAGGAGACTCTGTGAGCAGTTCAGAACGGCCTGTGCATGTGAGTGATGTGAGTGGCGGGTGTTTGCCTCTCTTGGCCTTTGCTTTGAAGCCCTTCTTGTCCATGGAGAGGTGGTACGCTGGAGCAAAAGCTTTGCTATCCCATGGGCAGGCAGCAGGACCGTGTGATGAGCAGGCCTCGCTGTCCATCTGGTCTCTGCCGCATGATTTGAAGGGCTTCCAAAGACTCCCCTGCCTCCTACCCTCTTCCTCTGCTGCACACAAACCCAGCAGTCACTGCAGTCCCAAACCCCTTGGTTAAGAAAGGGCCATCGCTCAGTAAAATGGCAATAACTTCAGGGAGGGAAGCTATCAATCTGAAGACCTGATTTTGAACTTATGACGTGCTTCCCACCTCAACAGGTGCTCAGAAGCAAGTTTTAGTCAATGATAGGAGGGTGGAACTCGATTCTCAGGAATGCTTATAGGAAAGGGATGGGAAAAGGAGGTGGGCAGGGACAGCACCTGTGCCAACACTGCCCTCAGACAAAGAGCAGCAGCGCACAGTGAGTTCTCGCTGCACTGGGTTCAGTATGAACACGACGTTTAAGTGTCACAGCAGCCCAGGGAGAGAGCTGTGAACATTCTCCCAGTGCACCCCACTTCACAGCTTACCTAGAGGTATCCCCTGTTGAAAACCCAAGAATGCATGCTTAGTTTAAAATTCCTGCTAACTCAGAAGTAATTCACATTACCCCGTGTGGTACCATTGTTGTGTGCTGGCAAGTCAATTCTGACTCCTAGAGACCCTGTAGAACAGGGTGGAACTGCCCCATGGGGTTTGCTAGGCTGTAATCTTTATGGGAATAGATCACCAAGTCTTTTCTCCTGTGGAGCTGCTGGTGGGTTCAAACCACCAACCTTTTGGTTAACAGTCTGGCACTTAACCGTTGCGCTCCTTCCTATGGTAAAAGGGTGGCAATTTGCAACATATTGACAATAATTAATTGTGTCACCTGTGACACTCCCACGACTCCCTGGTTCAGGGTCTCCCTCTCATCGCAGGGACTCAGCATGCCACAGTCCTTCAGTGTGGCTAGAGCAATGAGGAAGACACCACTGTCCTCCAGGGTCGGGCTCCTGGGTGCTGCTAAAGTTACTGTGAGTCTCTGAGACCCTAAGAGGCAGCTCTGCCTGTAGCCTCCATCTGCATAGAGTGTCCTTATGGTCCCTGGAGCGAAAGAGTATCCAAGACAGACAGCGGGCTTTGCTGGCCTCCCCACTGTCCCCAAGGCAGCAGTGCAAACCTCCCCCAGCCTGAGACAACCCTGCAAATGAACACCGAGTCAACCTACGTGTCAGCTGCCCAGATGGATCTGGGTATGTTTAAGTTCCAGCTGGGCCCAAGATGCAATTGCCCAACCTTGCCACCGTGCGCACCTCATACTTGATGAATTTGGAGGTCAGGGTTTCTGGAATATCCCAGTTGGAATACTGAGATAGCATAGCTTTTACTTTATTACAAAGACTGGTGAAGTGCCAGCTGTGGGGCAATGACTTCATTGTCTCAGTTCTGCGGTAGCTGCTTCCTGTCCCAAACAATGGACTGGCCTTTTCACAATGGGACCATGCCCGATGGCCCACGTGAGCATGGCATGGTATTTATAGCTGTGTGGGCTCCATCAGGTGGAGGGAGATCAGAGGCTGACTCCTCACTGCCACCTTAATGCCGGTAGCACGTTTCCCCCAGGTTCTCAGGTCCATGAGTATCTGAAGCTTTTCTACTGAGTAACTGTGTTAACTGTCTGCTGTGCCTGGCTTTTGAACCGAGTACCTGCGAGCCCTCCGAATTTGTTTCCGCCCCACCAGCCCCTGTTTTCCGTGAAGGGCTCTCAGAGAACTTCTCCCATGCCTTGTGCTGTTGACTGATTGTTTGTTCTTCTTCTCTTCTCTCCACAGTGTGGCAAAGGAGCAGAAAACTTTGACAAGTTCTTCACACGAGGGCAGCCCGTCTTAACGCCGCCTGACCAGCTGGTCATTGCTAATATAGACCAGTCTGATTTTGAAGGGTTCTCGTATGTCAACCCCCAGTTTGTGCACCCCATCTTACAGAGCGCAGTATGAAACTCACCGACCAGAACAAAAACCTCCCCAGCCCCTAGCCCCACATGCAGTGGGAAGTGATCCTTAACCCTAAAATTTTAAGGCCACGGCCTTTTTCTTGTTCCAGATGGAGGCCTGAAAATTGTAGGGTTTTTAGTCCAAATGTGATCAACTGTTCAGGGTCTCTGTCTTACAACCAAGGAGCATTATCTTAGTGGAAGACGACATAACGTCCAGTGTCCAGTTTAATTATGTAAACGTCACATCTGGCTGTAGGTTAACCCTTCTAGAAAGCAAACCGACTCTTGCCCGTTTTTAGGTACGATGTCATACACTTCCCATCCCCTCCTCCGTTTGTCTATTTTTATCTTCAGGACTCCCCCACCATCAGTGTTAAAGTGAATCTGCCCCAGTCCCGGGGGCTAGAAGTATCTCCACCTGAGACGTCTTTAGAATGAAAGGACGGGGAACCCAGAGAGTGAGCAAGGAGGGATCGGGGCTGGGAGGAGGCTTTGAAATACCTGTTGCTTCTGTCCTCTGCCCTGATGGAGACAGTCCCCAGTATCCAAGGCTGGGGGGGCCAGAATCTAGTCCCACTGGAGAGCTCACTGTTCCCCAAGTTGATGTGTCTAAACCCAAACCTAGCCCAGCGGTTACCAGTTTTCAAAAAAGCAAAATGTCAGATAAATGTTTAGTGACTCTGTCATCTTGTCCCCTGCTTGGTTGATAACTAGCTTGATACTTGCACTTCTTCATAAGAGGCCAAATCTCCTAAGGACTTTGCTAAACGAGCGTGTAAAATCATTTCGGATCAAGGATAAACCAGTGTGTATGTACGTTCATTTTAATCTCTAGGAGATTATTCTGTGATCCAGGGTGCCATCAGTAACCATGCCACTACTCAAGAGCATTGTTAGCCAACCCCACACACAACGATATTTTGCTACCTGCATTGTTACCCTTCATCAGACTCTGAAGTGTACGCCCCATCCCCTTTTGTACTTATTTATTTAATAGGCTGCAGTGTTGTTTTTGCGAGTACCATGTACAGTAACTTAATCATAGTGTTGACTCTAGCCTCCATCCCTACTGATTGCTTTTCCTCCCTTCGCCGGCCCTTGACATCTACTAGGGGTGACCAACGATGCAGCTCTGTTTCCCTTTCCCAGTTCACGTTGGAGGACATACCTGGAGCTGTAGAATCAGGAAACCTGGACGCACATCAGCTCGTGAACATTCTATTGCTAGAAGGATTTTAATATGTTTTGCAAATGCATCATGCAATGAATTTTGCATGTTTATAATAAACCTTAATAACAAGTGAATCTATATTATTGATATAAATCGTATCAAGTACAAAGAGAGTATTATAATAATTTTCTAAGACACAATTGTGCTATATTGTGAAAGTTCTTGTTTCTAATCTGCTTTTATGATTAAGTTTTAAGTTAATTCTTTGCTACTGTGTTCCCCTCCCCCCACGTGTAACCCTGCACATTGGCACTATGTCAGATATATTCATTTTTTTAATGTAGATCTAATTTCAGAAATGAATGGCTACTTTACATGACTCGATTAGGCATTTCCTATACATATGTACTCAGATATATTTGATTCTACCTGCAAGCAAAACTTTTGTTTGGGGAATTATTTTTGAGATAAGACTTTCTCTTAGCTTCTTGGTATCATCTTCCGCTGATTCCGATGCCACCCTTCCAACTTGGAGAAGTTCTTGATTCCGGAATCCCTAGTATGTTTGTGCAGATGTGGTGTTGTCACAGCCCCTGGGCTGAACTTGGTTTCTTGGTTTGTTCAGTTTTGCTTTTCCTTTCAGCCTTGTTACCATTAATGATTAATGCCCCTGGGGGTGGGAGAGGTGGGAAGACTGCCTTCTTGATGTGTGTGCATGGAAATACCAGTGCATGCTGTCTGTCTTGCTGCCCCTGGAATGACCCACTGTCTTCTCCAGCATGTACTACGCCCCTAAGAGGTCAACCGTCAGACAAGCCTTGTGTCGGCCCCTGAGCAAAGACATCCATCCCCAAGAGGTGCCACCGGCAAACTCTTGAGAGGATATAGATTTTCTGCCAGCTATTGCTAGAACTGGCCTTTCCAGTTCTTATGAGGAGCTCATCCCAATGCAAGGTCCTTGGAGGAGCCAGGCTTCTTAAAATAAAAGCCAAACCAAACCAAACTCACTGCCATCAAGTCGGATCCGACTCATAGCGACCCCTCCTTGGGTTTCCAAGGCAGTATCACTATGGAAGTAGATCGCCCAATCTTCTTCTGAGGAGTGGCTGATGGGTTTGAACCACCAGCCTTCTGGTTAGCAGCCTAATGTCTTAGGCACTACGCTACCAGAGCTCCTTACAATGTAAAGAAAGATTCAAAATAGAAGCAACTGTAGGTCCTTGTAGAAGGCAGCTCCATTTCTTTCCATTGCCCAAGAGCTCCACCCAGTTAAGCTCCTCCTTATTTTTACTCTCTGGCTGTTTGCCTAAAATCCATCTAACATACAACTACCAAAGAGTTTTTGAGGAAGGAGGCCTAAGCTCTTCCTGGAGAGCCTGGCTTGGAGGAAGAAAGAGAGCAGGGAATGGGTCAGACCAGAAAAAAGCCATGTCTTCTGCCATCTTTTATACCTTCGGGACTCCAGAGGGGCCCTGGTGCATCCACACCTGCAAGTTGCTGGTCAGTGCACACCTGAGGGCCCCTCCCCTTCAGGCACAGCTCATGGTCTGATGGAAAAGGGACCAATTTGTAGAAAGAGCCTGAGAGACAAATGGGCCTGTCACCCTCTCCCAGGATGGAACAGCTGGATTCACCCCCAGGAGATGAGCAATGTCCCAGAAGGGAGCATGCGGCTTATGGAACATTTTGTTCCAAGACACCAAACTGCCTGCCTGGCATGGCTCAGAATCTTCCTCAAATGGCCAGCTATTTGCAAGTTACTCATACTTCTCCAGGAAACATTCACCATCTCAGCTGGCTTGTATTCTTCCAGAACATGTGGCAGAGTTTTTAAAGACTGTGCACTGGCCATTGGGCCCAGCACCCTGCCTGAGGTATAGCGGCCTATAGAGCCAGCTTGGGGAAAAGGCAGTACAAGTCCAGGGCTCAGGGAAATGTCACTGTGAGGTAGCCTATTCTGCACATTGCCGAGTATGAATCTAGAAAAAGGCTAACGCAGTTAGGATCTGAGCAGCCCATGAGAGTAATCGTTGAAAGAATCAACCATATGGGTAGCCATTATCAACTGTCACCTGCAGACTTTGTAAGAGTCTGTGGAATTGTCCCACTTCATGTGGAATGAAGCGGCAAGGGAAAGACTGCTATTCCAGCTGCAGCAAGGGGCTGGAACAAGCAGGACACCATCAAGGGTGAAGCTACCATGAGACTCTTTAGTAACAGCTCCAAAGGCCTGGATTGCCAGAGCCTGTTAAGGGACAGGCTGCCTGGCAGAATCTGGCACAATCTGAGTGTCCACAGGCCCGTTGGGCTGTGACCCTAAAAGCCCATTCAGGTTGCTTTGCATTATTTGCCATTGGAAGATGGTCCCTGCTTGTGGTGGAACTTTCTGCCCTTCTTTTGGCATCTCTCCTGCTGAAGTCACTAGATATTTGGTTTAAACAGAAGTATCAGGACTATGCTGTCGGATGCAGCCCTCGGAGGTTAATGGGAAGCTCACATCGAGGCAAGAGCCAATTTGAAGGACAGATATGAAACCCAGGAACCAAAGTGATGGCTCTTCAACATGTTTACGAATCTGTGATCCCCACGGCCTGGTACAAGTTCATGCAAAATCGCAGCCAACTTTCCTTTTATGGGATGTATCTGCTTTCTTAATAGGCATCTTGGTTGAAAAGCAGGGGGTCATGAGCTATCTGCCATCATGGCCTGAGATCACTGGTTGAAAGATTACAAAAGGCCAAGATGAATGCAGTCCAGCCAATGTTTGGTGAGCACCTCTGAGCTGAAGTCCTTGGAAGAGTGTGGGGCCTTGGAGCGAAGGATGCAGATCCCAAGAGAGTGACCCGCTGATGATCAGAGAAGGGAGAGGTCCCTGGAGGTGGAAGTCGGCAAGTGTTTACAGTGTGTTTGGTAGGATGTTTACAGTAGAGGAAGCCAGGAGGGAGAAGAAGAGGCATCTTGGGAAGGATGCTGCTGCCTCCAGATGTTGGCTTTCCCTCAGGTGGTTGTAGTGCTGATGAAAGTCCTGAAAAGCGTGGACACAGCCCATTCTCCTCAGAAAACATTCCCAATGCCAAGAGCATTGTCACCAGCAGCTGGACATCCTCCTCCCCTCCCTACCTTGAAATAGCTCACAATCCCCTGGACCAAACCAAACCACCCACTGTGCCCCAGAAACCAGTAGGATCCAACCCACTTTCCTCTGTGGCTTCTGTGGGTGCTGAGGATGGATGGAGGAGTGGAGGAAAGAGCAGTTCCGTTTGATTCTACTGAGCGGGAGAAAGTGGGCCTTTTTGCTGGCATTTGTTTTCTCAGAACTGAAGAGGGGAGAAGTGAGTGTCTATGTTTTTTAAAAGCCTCAGAAAGGCAACACCGTCTGACAGTCATCTTCTCACTTTGGTCTGGCCAAGTCACCGTTAGCTGTTGCTTTAGAAAACAGCAAGAGCAGGAGGGCCTGTCCCCCCAGAGAGCACACCGAACAGCCATGATCGTGACATGGCCCCTGAGCCTGGGCCCCAAAAGGAGACGATTCCAGCCACCACTGCTGACAGTGGGGTCTCTCGCAGCAGAAGGCATGGCGCTGGTGTCTTGCGTGTGTAGTGAAGAGAAGGGGCTCTTTGGTTATTAGTGGCTATGCCCTGCCTCGACCAGGAGTGTTGGGGAATATTTTTTAAACTTCATTTTCCTTAAAGTGCTTGGCTTGCATTTTATGAAATAGACTAGACTGTAAACGTTTCTGCCATTGCCCATGTGAGCAGGCACGGCACATCTAGGGAGTACTTGTCTCTTCTGCTTTTAGAAGATGCAGAAAACTAGGCAAGGTTCCCTAA